AAAAAAAAAAGTTGAGAATTTAGAGGGTTAAAATGTTGTGGGGTTGTTAACCAATGTCATAAAACAGCGTGTGTGTTACTGTTACATGAGAAACTATCTATTCTGTAAGCCTTCACCTGAAGTACAAAAAAATATTTAAAAAAAAAAAAAATATTTACAGCAATGACAGCATCACTGAAATAAGTTTATAGCTCTCCAAGAGAAATAGAAAAATAACATTCATTTTTATATTAAAGCTCTGGTATTTTTTTAAAAGCCATTCTCATAGCTTTATTTAGGCTCATTAGTTACTGTGTGACACACATTGCTGAGGACGGTTGTAATTGAATTTCCCAGGACTATCTTATGGCCCTGTCTCTACAACAAGAACAGCAGAGCCAAGAGATCAACTGGGAACAAATCCCAGAAGGAATCAGTGATTTGGAACTAGCCAAGAAACTCCAAGAGGAAGAGGACAGAAGGGCTTCTCAGTATTACCAGGAACAAGAACAAGCAGGAGCAGCCGCCGCTGTTGCTTCTCCACAGGCCCAGGTAAAACCAGTCTTCTGAGTCTTCAGTACAGTGATCACTTTAGCAATAAAGCAATTTCTGCTGAGATAAAAGAATTTTAATTAGGTGTTGGCTCTTCAATGTTGTCAGCATCTTAGCACCCGTGGGTTTTACGACATTGTCCCAAGTTTGTGATCATTCTAATAATTTCTCATTTGGTGAAATTATTTTACTTGATATTCTAATGACAAGATATTTAAAATTTATTTTTTAAGGCTTCAATAGCATGGCAAAGAAAATAAACTACAAATTGAGCAAAGTCCTTTCCGTCAGCTGGGGGCAGTATGAGGTCCTACTGGAAAGAATACAGACTTTGGAGACAGACGTGTAGATCTGCATTTCCTGCTTCTGTCTCTCCTTAGTAGCTGCAGTTTCTTGGGCAAAGTTCTCTGCCTCTTTTTCCCTATAAGTAAAATAGAGGACAAGAATTCACTCTCAGATGTGTGGCGAACAGCAGATAGTGTCTGACATGCACTGAGCATTAAACAAAGGGTAGCACCCTTCCCCCAGTTAAATGATGGGATTTTAAGGACTGAAAATGACTATTAAGTGAGTTTCTTCTATACGTGAGATGTCATTTCATTAAACAAAAAGGCATTTCCCTCCTTTTATGTTTAACTGTGCCATGCTAGAACTGTTCCTTCTGATTTGGGTGCACAAGAAAGCAACATGCCCTTTAAAAGCATGAAGCTTTAAATATGGAAGTTCCCATTAAAATCAGTACAGAATTTCGGTTTCTAGCTCAAATATTGCATACCTCAAGCCTAAAAGTTAAAACCTACCATTCTATGATTAGATTTTCATTAAAGAGTTCTCTTATTTCACAGAATGTACTTATTCCATGCTCTCAGTTCTCAGGATCCCCCACCCCCTGCCTTGGAATGTTTATTATAGCATTTAATAAGGTCTTGAAGAACTATGACAGTTTACCAAAAAGTGTCACTTTTCTTTAACATTTTCTAAATGTTAAGATAAGTATCTCTTAGATTTGAGGCTTCAGTTAATACTATCCTGCGTGTTATTTATTGTTTGAAATTCCATTTATTTAGAAGAATGGCTACATTGATCATATATATCCAGAATGGTAGAGGCTCACTCAGATACCATGTAATACAATACACCCACAGTTTCTTTGTCCATTAGTGATTTCTTTTACTCTCGCAGTTTGTCTTTCTAGATAACAGTGATTAAGCAGCTTGGAGTCGTTGGAATAATTTCTTCCTGTGTATTTCTCTTAAAGCAGGGCCAGCCAGCACAAGCCTCTCCATCAAGTGGAAGACAATCTGGGAATAATGAACGTAAACGAAAGGAACCTCGAGAAAAAGATAAAGAAAAAGAAAAGGAAAAAAGTAGCTGTGTTATTTTGTAACAAGTGTTGGATTCTACTGGAACCACCTATATGTCTTGAGTAACAAACCCACAGGAAGAAAGGAAGAAAACCCGATAAATACCGTCTGTGCCTGATTTCCCAATGGATTTTGTTTATGTTTTTCCGGGGGAAGGTTGTTACTTAGTTACAATCAGACTTTTCCTCACATAGTACACTCTTTATAAGCTGGAATTTCATGTTACAAGTTGGAAATGCTGTGTGTTGTCATTCATGAAAAATACTGCACTTGTAGCCAAATAAGCAAATCACAGCAAATTTTGTGTCATAGTGACATCCGTAACTCATTATCAGTTAGTAAGCTATTTTATCTTCTGTTCTGAAACGAATGGAGGTAATTGATTTCGTCTGATTCCTTCCTGATGGCTAAATATTAGCACAGTAGTTTCTGAACTTAATTTTTATAATATTAAATTATGATCTAATCCATGAGAAATCAGGGGTTTAATATAGGAACTTAAAAAGCAAAAAATAAGACAAAAAAAAAAAAAACAGGAATAAACAACCTTAATTGTATATTGGACTAGTTCAGCCCTTGAACAGCTTTACTTTTCTTTAGGAATTTACATTTTAGATATTATCTGGAGAATTGATAATGGAACTTGGATTTAATTTAGATAGAAAAAATAAAGATTTGCATTTCTTTTCCAATAGCAAAATTACATAACACTAATACTCTTATCAAAATCAGATATTAATGGCTTTATAGTGTTGTGAAATTTTGAAATCTTTCATATAGGTAACTGGACCACAGTTACTATTTATTGACAGTGTGATAGGTGAGTGTAGGGACGAAGCCACAGTGGATGCTAGGCCTTGTAAATATGGGGAACGCAGAAATCCAGATAATTCAGTGTCGGCCTTTTTCTAGAATTACCCTGAACCTTAAAATTTAAATCATGTTTATTTGCTAGAAAATTAAATACACTTACTCAAGCCAATAAAAAAGCACATTTCTGAAAGACCGAGAAACTCTGAGTTTAGTGAAAAGACATTAATAAAATTCTCTTTGACAATAGATAAGAATTTGGAGGAATTTATGTCAAAGCAATCAGATTTTTTAACTTATGGGAACCAAATAAATCTATAACATCTTGTAGGCTTTATAGGATTCAGAAAGAATATTTATTGAACTTTATTATGAGGACAACAGATATTTTCCTGTATTTCTAGATATAGTTTGAAAAACAATCCTTGATAGTCCTTTTGATATATTTTATATTTAAAAATTTGCTTTAGTCATTTTTTAAAAGACTATTCTGCTGCAAATAGTTTGCATTGTAAGCTGTGGTAAATTTGTTTATTTAAGAACGTCTTCATCTGACCTTCGCATCTGCTTAGAGAATGTCTTGCGGTCTGAGGTGACAATAGACTACCAAAACACGTAGTCTAGATGTTTGAAGCTATGTCCTTTACTTTCTCCGCGATTCATGACCAGTTATAGGATAAGTCTCTATATAAAAAGTGAAGTCTTATTTATGGAAGGAAGTATTCTAAGGGAAAAATCCAGGGCCAAGCTGTGTATATCTTTTGTGTCCTATGTTGTATGTCTGTTTATGTTACACAATCTGTTATTCCTTCAGATTTCCTCTGCTAGCATGGTAAATCATCAGAGAACCAGTTTTGGGTATAAACCTTTGATACAAAATATTTGGTGAATCTCTTGATAACAACCCAGAACATGCGCACATTGGTGCAGTAAGTAATCTGATGTACTGCAGAATTCTCTGTTGCCTCAAATAGATTGACCTGAGTCCAAGTTTACTCTTGATTTCATACTAATGCTTGGAGTGGATACTCAGCCTCAGGGCTTATTTGTCCTAGAGCAGAGAGGTGTGACAGCGCATTATATTTTAATAAGGAAAAGCAAACAGTAAACTGAGAAATTTTAAAAGCACATTTGAGGCATATTTTTCTGTAATTATATACTTATCTACTTATTGCCCTTGAAAAATATGTGTAGAAGTTATTCTTTTGTTATTATCTTATTAATTTGTCCCAAAGATAATACTGCCACTCTGTATTCCCTGTGGAAGGAAAAGTCAAAACCTCACTTAAAACCAGCAGTGCTGCTATCAGATAAGTAGATTTCACCGTGTACTTATAAGAAAAAGTAAAAAATGTTATTTGTTAATTCAGTCTTTTTCTATATACTGTTTCCAAGTTAGACTTTCTTACATTCCTGGAATTCAGTTTAATATACCAAGGGTAGTAATTTAAAAATGTTCACTTTGATTACTGTCGGGAAACAATTAAATGTTCAATTCTATTAAAACAAGCAAACTTTTCACAGATACTGGTTTCCCATCCTTGAAGGTTATAAAGAATTTAGAATTATTGTGTCTTTATTTTCTTATATTCTGCTCAAGGTAACAAATTATATATTCAGACATTTCATTGCTGGTTTGGGTGTCTTGAAATTTGATAGTGGTATATTAAAGTCTTTCCTTCACAGTATTTTGTAATACTTGAAAATTATCACATATACATTGCTAGCAGAAGTTAGAAATTAAACATTTTTGTTTTTAATATTTATAGGCTAGATTAGGGGCACATTTGCATCGACCAAATCGCCATTAGAGCTGGGAAAAGAGGCAGATGAGTGCATGGATGTGGTCGCCGTACTTTCCTCTTACTTGCTCCTTAAGGTCAGTGATCAGTCTTAATTAACTACGTGAGAACTCTCTTCATGTCTAATCCCATTTCATTGACAATGCTGTGATTTACACATTACCAACATTAGAAGTGTGTGTGTGTGCGCGCGCGTGCAGTTTTGGAGCAAGTTTCCGTGGCTTTCATTAGATTCTCAAATGGATCTGGGGACCTTCCCTCAAACTTAAGAATCACCACTTTAAGAACACACACACACACACGTATGTACGTACAAACACACTAGCACTTTCAGGCAATGAAATTGCCCTTGGCTGCTTTCTGTCGTGTCTTAAGCCAGCCAGGTGTGTTTAGGTAAAGTAACGTCTTCCATGTCGTGAGGTGTCAGGTTAGACACTGTTGAATGAGCCATAGATTTAAGTTTAAGAGCAGGCGTTGGATTGTATCTTGTTTTTACTGTCTCACATCGCCAGTTTTTGACTTCTTAGCCTGTATTATGTTTAGAATTCTTCCTCATACTTCTTAATCTGAGCTTAATTAAGCAAGTTAATATCAGAGAGTAGTTGACTGAACCTAATATTAACCATTGTTTACTTTCACACAACCTTTTTAGGATTTTTTCAATGAATCACAAACTCAGCTCATTAAGAGACAGAAGATCTTAAAAAAGGACTGGAAGTCAAATAAATCTTTAAGGAGAGAATTGTGGTTACTGTATTAATATTGGCATATGAAGCAGATACTTGTAAAACCATGGTGGAGAAAGATTAAGGCAAAAATTTCTAGAACTGTCCTCAAATAATCTCGTTTGTTAAAGAAAAAGCAAATTGATTGCATTTTGCTTTACTTTCTTATCAGTGTCTTGGTTATTTTAAAACATAACGGAAAGCTTATGGGCTTTGCCTATCATACAATACTGAGGCATACAATTTAAAATATAATTGAAAACTTACTAATATTTAATAAGACAGAGGCATTAAAAAGTCTATAGTTTCTACTTTAAGGAACTGGAAATGTAGAATTCTGAATCATTTCATTTGTAAAACCCTGACTTTCTCTCTTGCCTTGGGCAAACTTTTTGTGCCTCAAGAATTTACTCTTTAAAATACATAAAGAGTGCTTTTTTTTTTTTTTTAAAGTGCTTTGCACTCCTGAATAAAGGGCATAGCATAAGCACAAAGTATTACTTAAATAATCACAAATACTAAAGACTTCCTGTGCAGACTTTTTTTCCAGTGACTCATACTTCTTCAGTCAGTTTTTTTAATGCTGTCAAAATTTGTAGAATTTTCTTGTCTTTGAGTATGACATAATCTCTTCTCAAAATGTATTTTACAATTGCTTTTGTGTTTGGTAGACTATAAGGTCAAAATCAAGGGTACTTGGGAAGCAGCATAAAAAGCACTTAGAATTTTATTTTTTCCCAATATCTTTCACAGGTCTAAGTACTTAGATTCTCTTTACCTTTTCCTCCATGGAATAAAGTACAGTGGTTTCAGGTTACTAATACATGTATGTAAACTTTTTGCATGGATAGAATTTATTTAGATCTCTCAAGTATTGTCATTTTTAGGGCTAAATTATTTGTGTTTTGTGGTATAAAATGTTATTTGATAATGTGCAGTTAAAGTCCTCGTAGAGAATGAGTGAACATGGTAAAGGAATGCATTAGAATCCTGGAGTTCTTAGGGTCTCTGATAACTTAGTGCCCTGTTACTCATGTCCAACACCTCTGAACTGCTGGGAAAACATTATGAAGAATTGAGGTTACTCTCCCTCTCTCAGGTGATACTTCAAGACAAACTAAATTTTAAAATATGAGGTTTCCAGAACAAAACAAATGGCAAAATAGAGATAAGGGAGTCTCAAGAACAAATTATAGGACTCCAATAAGTTTAACTTAGTTTGAAGTTCTATCCAACTTTTAATTTATACACATCTCTTACTTAATTATGGCATTTCTGCTCTTAAGAATTAGAGTTTAATAAACTGTGATATGCATACATATTTTTACATGAAGGATTCTAGTTTCTAAATTCACTTTTATGAGCTCAAGCAATTTAAACTCAAAAAACACGGTAAAAGTCTTCAGCTATTGCCTCAGCTCTGCTTTGTCCTATTGCCTTGAAAAGGAAGAGATTGACACTTGTCTGCCTAGCACAGATATTTTTCAGGGCATGGTACCCTGCTCTCCCAGGTAAGGTGTCAAAATACCATGTCAAAAATACAAAGCCTAAGCTTTGAACTACAGTAGTACTTAAAGAACAAAAAGGTGTATCATCCTTCTACATCGAGCCTCTCTGCTTTATGTGATACTCATCTGAGGATTCTTCCAGCCACTTAGTGATTTCTCACCACTAGCTCTATAGACTTTACATCCATCCTCGCGGACTTAGTCTGCGCTGAGAGGGAGAGGTGCCTCTATAGCTGAGTAGATACACAAAGCAAAGTTATTTTGAAGGTGATCCTGGTTTCTTTGGCCCTAGTAGCTATTGTACAGCTTTAAATAGAAAGGAAACTGAAATGCCCTACAAAGCAGTTCTAGCTGATGGAATGTGTTTTATACGAAGGTTGGTACTGAATCCGTGAAGGTCTGTCCTGCGTGTCTGTCAGTTTTGTCAGTGTGTGTGTGTATGTGTGTGCGCGCGTTCTTTTTTACATTTCAGTGGTATGACATAACCAGTTTTTTCAGGGTGCATAGGATATCTTAGCTTTACAGACTTTTTAAGATGAAGCTTTGAAAAGCCTCTAGTGGTTTCTGTTAAAAGGCCGTCTGCTTCAACAGAAGGACAGTTATTGTCACAGATCCCCTCATCACAAGTAGGAGACTATAGTGCAAGACTGATGTGTGGTGGCTGCACGGCAGTCAGCAGACGGCCCGTCTGCCCTCAGGAGATCCAGAGGGGTCCTGAAAGTTCTGTCCCGAAGCCAGTGCATGTGGCTGTTTCTCCTGATGTTGTGCAGAATAATGGGATTGGGGCATCTATTTGGGGAGCAGCAAGAGGAATGGTATAATGGCTGCAGAGAAAGTAATCTTGAAATATAGCAAAAAGGGGAACAAGCTCTCTTCCTCCACTTAACTATCAGGACTGCTCTAGTCAAGAAGTTGCTGTGACACATCTCTTTGTGCCAGTTTAAGATTGCAGACCAATCGAAAGAGTTTAAATACCCAGACTGTGTATGGGTGCCTATTTTTTCTCCTCCTTTCCTTTGCTCTTAATACCCTTTCTACTTCTGAAAATAATTCATCTGTTTTGCTGTGACCAGCTTTAATTCCAGTTAGTTTAAGGATAATAGCAGTCCTATAGATTAATAGGAAAGAGCATTGAAATACATTTTTTTTAATAAAAACACCGTAAAAGCATCTACCCACTAGGGTAGAACTGAAGTTCTATGAAAGAAACTTATTGTTTTAAAGGCTAATTATGCTAAAACTACTTAATTCTAAAACCTGTGTCTTAAGATTCTGAAGTTTCACTTTTGGAGGATATTCCTAAAAAGGCATATTGAACATAGCTGGGAAAGTAGAAAATATGTCTTACAGAATTTTTCAGTATTATTCATTTAATTTCATATTTGTTTATTGTACCACAAGGGCAGTGTCATTGTTGAACTAAAATGTTGGACTTTTTGTTAATATACTTAAAACTGTAACCAGTGATAACACCCTTAGTATTTTTTATTATAGATTATATTTTATTTCAATAAACTTTGATATTTAGACCAAACAGTTTTTCCGCTATATATATTTAACTTGTTAAGCTACTTCTTACAAATTTAAGAATGGGGATACAGAGAATTGACACTGATTCACATTTACCTAGTTCACTCTTAGAGTAGTGTGACCAACTCTTGATAAAGAGATTTTTCCCTCCAAAGGCAGTGAATAACCAAACAACTCCAAGCCAGAGCCCTGGTGGTACAGTGGTTAAAGCGCTCGGCTGCTAACTGAAAGGTCGGCAGTTCAAACCCACCAGCAGCTCCACAGGAGAAAGATGTGGCAGTCTGCTTCCATAAAAATATCAGCCTTGGAAACCCTATGGGGCAGTTCTACTCTGTCCTTTCGGGTTGCTATGAGTCAGAATCAACTCGACAGCAGTGGGTTTGAGTTTTTTAACTCTAAGCCATATAACAGTCAGCTACCCAATCCCAATGGTAGATTTGTTGTATCTGACACTTCTATCCTCTTGGAGGACTAAATTAGAAAGAATTGATAAGGAATCATTTTCTCTTTCCATGGAGCCAACCCTAATGTGAAGGTTCTGTTAGTAATTTAATGTCCAAACCAGCTAATATCTGACATGTCTCTGTGAAAGCTTTCTTGGACTCCCAGCCCCCTACGCAGAATTAATCACTTCACGTAGCATTTTGTGGACTTCCCACCATTTATAACATTTAAGCTGACAGCCTTTTAAGGACAGGGATCATTTCTTACTCATCTTGGTTTTTTTTTTTTTTTTTTTTGGTGGGGGGAGCATATTACATAATCATTGGCATTTAGAAAGAACTCAAATATTAGAGGAATTTTTAAAGATACTTTACACTTATTGTTTGCCTGTTCTTTAAATTCAAAGAGAAGTAAATTGGGTTATTGAATCAATTTTCCCTTTTAGCATAAAGTTATGCAGATAGAGGGTACTGAAATCCTTAATTCTTTATGCCCCTCTGATTTTCCCTGGGTGATATCCCCCTGCACACACTTTGAGGGACAGAGTAGCTGGGGTAGAGGCCTGGGGACCGTGGTTTCAGGGGAAATGTAGGTCAACTGGCATAACAAAGTTTAGTAAGAAAATGTTCTATATCCCACTTTGGTGAGTGGCATCCGGGGTCTTAAAAGCTTGCGAGTGGCCATCTAAGATGCATCATTTGGTCCCAACTCACTTGGAGCAAAGGAGAATGAAGAACACCAAAGAAACAAGGAAAATATTAGCCCAAGAGACAAAAAGGTCCACATAAACCAGAGACTGCATCAGCCTGAGACTGGGAGAACTAGATGGTGCCCGGCTACCACCAATGACTGCCCTGACAGGGAACACAACAGAGAGTCCCAAACAGAGCGGGAGAAAAGTGCAGAGCAGAACTCAAATTCACGTGAAAAGAGCAGACTTAATGGTCTGACTGAGACTGGAGGAACCCCCGAAGCCATGGTCCCTGGACGCTCTGTTAACCCAGAACTAAAACCATTCCTGAAGCCCACTCTTCAGACCAAGATTAGACTGGACTATAAAACATAAAATAATACTCGTGAAGAGTGTCTTCTTAGTTCAGTCAGATACACGAGACCAAATGGGCGGCTCCTGTCCGGAGGCAGTCTGAGAAGGTAGGAGGGGACAGAAACTGGTTGAATGGACACAAGAAATCTGGGGTGGAAAGGGGGAGTGTGCTGTCACATTATAGGGATTGCAACTAATGTCCAATAACAATATATGTATAAATTTTTGTATGAGAAATTAACTTGAGCTGTAAGCTTTCACCTAAACTACCATTAAAAATGTAATAATCATAAATTCCAGATAGATAACTTTAGAAATTGTGCCATGTTCTCCTGGAGACTAGTGAAGTTGCTCATTTATCAATAATAAAATATACCAGGTGAAAAACAATATACATTCACACACACACACACACACACACACACACACACACACACACACTCCAGGAGACCCAGGAGGCTAAAAGATAACAGTGTTTCTTTTTGAGGTGATGAAATGTTCTAAAATTGACTATGGTGATGATTGCACACATCTGTGATTATATTAAAATCCACTAATTGAACACTTAAATTGGGTGAATTGTATATGTGAATTATATCTCAATAAAGTGGTTTTCCGCTGCTGTAAAATCAGAGAAGGTGAGTCGGGGTTGTATCCCTTCACCATCCTTATTCAATCTGTGTGCTGAGCAAATAACCTGATAAGCTGGACTATGAGTAAGTATGCAGCATCAGGACTGGAGGAAGACTCATTAACAACCTGTGATATGCAGATGACACATCCTTGTCTGCTGAAAGTGAAGAGGACTTGAAGCACTTACTGATGAAGATCAAAGACTACAGCCTTCAGTCTGGATTACACCGCAACACAAAGCAAACAGAAATCCTCATAACTAGACCAATAAGCAACATAATGATAAACGGGAGAAAAGAC